TCATGTGCGTCGGACAACATACCAGCTAATTTGGTTTGTCGAATTAAGGAAAACGAGAAATACACTTAAATGTTTAACTCAGACAGATAGGAAACGTTATCCTGAGAGCCATTTGGTGAGATCAGATGAGATTAGTTCACAAGTGCCATGGAAAAAGTTTTGTATATGTTCAGGTCGGTATTCGTGGTTATATTCTGTAGGTTATGTTGGCAATCATAATTCTAACCATAAGCGCATCGGGTTGTCTACATAAATAGTTAACTAAATAAAACACTCATTTAACTGAAATGAACTATGCTGCACACATAGATACCTCTTTAAAAATAATATTTCACATCTCAGCATGACTTCCACACATCAGTCTGTCTGTCTGTTTTTGACATAGAACTTTGCACTTATGTGCCCCAGTTCAAGTCGCCACACTCCATGTAGCAGACAAGGCAAGAGGAGAAAGTAGAAGAAATGCATAATAGATACAGTAAACAGAGTTGTGAGACAGAGGAATAGTAGTAACGAAGAACAAAACAGTTTCATTGGAAATCATAAATCACAAGGACTGGATACATCTGCGCCATTGAGAACGATTTCGAGCCATATCACCAATTGTTTCCAACCATTGGTTTTTACCGTCCCGAGGAAGACTACACCTTCCTACGTGATTTAGACTAACTGTTGTAGATTTCATTGACTGGTGCCATGTCTTTGTTTGACCTCTGCTAGCTCTTTTCCAGCCTGACCCTATATCCGTTAACATTCCTCGTCGAGGAAGGCGATGACTATGCATACGTAACACATGTCCAAAGCATCTCAGTCGATGTAACTTCACAACTTCGTCGATTGATTTTCCCTCCTTACCCAGAACTCGACGCCTAACCTCGATATTACTCACCTTATTACACCACTTCACACGGGAGATAGAACGCAGGCACCTATGATCAAAGACAGCTAATGTTTTCATGTCTTCTACTCTCAGTGGCCAGGTCTCACAGCTGGCCATAAAGGAGGACGGAGCGGGCTGATGAGCAGTACACCCACCCTTTGGTCGATAGTCGGATATCACGTCTACGCCAGAGACGGCGTAAACTGGCGTTTGCGAAACTGGCCTTCTGTATCCATTCTGAGATTTCGTCAGAGATCAACCCGTTGGGGCTGATGGTACTTCCCAAATAAGTGAAGCGGTCAACGTGCTCTACCACTTCACTCCCTATTTCTAATCTAGGAGTCGGTGTAGTCCAGTCCTGTAACATCATCTTGCATTTGGCGGGAGCGAATCGCATGCCAAACATTCGTAGATTGCAACTCAAGGTGTTTAGAAGACGCTGTATTTTGTCAGTGTCCTCGCCTAGAAGGACTATATCGTCTGCATATTCTAAGTCAACGAGATTATTCCCTGGTGGTAGCAAGTCAATCCCTGAGTGAGTTAGGGTTAAGTCCATTAGTACATCTATGATGAAGTTGAATAGAAATGGGGATAATGGGCATCCTTGACGGACACCACTAGTCGTCACCATTTCAGATGACAACTCACCGTAAGCCCTCACCTAGCTGCATGAGTGCGAGTAGAGTGCCTTAAACAGTGCAATGTATTTTCTCGGCATTCCTTTTACAGACAAGCATCTCCAGAGACCCTCTCGGTCGACAGAATCGAATGACGCCTTTAGGTCAAGAAATATAATGATTGTTGGACGCCGGTAGGAATATCTATGTTCTAGAATCTGTGGAAGGATGAAGAAAGATATGATCAATGCACCCTCTTCCTGGTATAAAGCCTGCCTGGCTCTCTCGTGTTTGTGCCTCCCGAGCACCACTTAGTCTACGCAATATTATTGATCCTAGGACTTAAGATATATATTAGTCAAGCTAATCCCTCTGTGATTATCACAGGAAGACTTGTCTCCCTTCTTGTATATGGGGATAATCAGTGACTTACACCAACCCGACGGGACTTCCTCTGATTCTCAGACGCTGCCTAGAACTTCAGTTAATGCAGACAGTAAACTGTCCCCACTGTACTTAAATAACTCCGGAGTAATTCCGTCGGGTCCTGCCGCTTTGCCTCGTTTCAAATTACAGATAGCTTTTGTGACCTCACTTACAGACGGCGGACCAGTGTCTATATCCCATTCGAGTGTTTGTTGGGTGGCAGGGAGGTTCAGCGTGGCTGTAGGCAAGTTAAATTGTTCCTCAAAGTGTTCTTTCCAGCGTTCAAGGCGTCTATCCTGAGAGCTAATTAAGGAGCCATTTTTCTCAGAAATAGTCTCACTTATGATTTGCCTTCTCCCACCCGTTTCCCTGATGAGTCTAAAGAGTTGCCTAGTGTTGCCTATCCTGAAGCTTTCTCCATCTCTTTCGCTTTTGTCACCCACCACTGTTCACGGTCCTTGCGGAGACTTTTCGTAAGTTTCCTCTTGTGCAGCTTTCGCTCCTCATTGAATTCGGAGCTCGCCGGAATAAGTCTTCTAGCATCTATCAGTTCGGATGAGGCAGTCGAAATCCAGTGGTTTTTACTCACCTTTGGGTTTAACTTATTCACAGCTTTTACAGCTGTATCTATGGCTGACTGAATATTCTTCCAAGCTTCTTCAGGGTGAGCACAGCTGTCGAACTCAGATATGTGTTTAGCTAGTTCTTCCTCAAATACGGATTTAGTTTCCTGATCGAGCTGGGGACGTGATGGTTTTACCGCCAGCTGTTTCCTACGTCCGTTCAGTCGTAAGCACACAGAAGGCGGACCAGTGCGTGATCGGTATCTACACACGTGTTCCAGAAGGAGCGACAATCTCCTACCGACCCACGCCAACGATAGCTTATTGCTATGTGGTCTATTTGTGTCCAGCGTTGGTTTGATGATGGGGGTCGCCAGGTCAAACAGTGTCTCTCCTTGTGTTTGAAGTTAGTGCTTACAAGAAACAAATGATTATCTGAACAGAACTGTAGGAGACGGTCACCGTTGTCGGTTCGCTGGCACGGAACTCCATAGGTGCCACCGACATCCTTCTCAGATTGACACAATTTCCCTACTTGAGCATTAAAGTCACCAGCTAGAACGACTATATCTGAGCGTTTAGCCTTTCGCACCAAACTAGACAGCTTTTGGTAGAACTCATCCTTCGTTTCATCTGAACTGCAGTCAGTGGGGGCGTAGGCGGAGATTACGAAAAGGCATCGGCGAGTAGTGCAGTCCTTTCTCCTTTTTACTGATCCGTTCAGACGGACAGCACACATTCGGCTATCTACCGGGATCCAGTCAAGCAATGTCTTTTCTGCCCTAGTACTCAAAGCTATCCCTACGCCAGCTAATCCTCGTGAACTAGCTGTGGCATCTCCTGACACCCTCAAGGTGAATTTTGAAGATTCATCCTGTTGGCCAGGTGGGGTTAGGTGAATAACCACACTTGGGTCTTGTATGCGTGTTTCTGAAACACAGCATACATCAATGGCTCGGATGCCAGGGTCTTGGCTAGTGATGCTTGTTGTCCTATTTGGCAAAGTGTCCTAACATTAAGAGCTCCTATATGAAATTGGTGGCGTGGCTTTAGGAGACTATCGGTGGTGGTTTTTTGGCTTCCGTCGTTTTTAGTGGACACAGAGTGGAGAGGAAGTGAGAGCCATCAAGTAGAGGAGTTGCATCAGTGGAAGGAAGGCAATATGATAGAGATGAAGATGAAGACAAAGATGAGTGAGGATTAGAGAGGTTTCGTGTGCATTTCGGATTGTGAGGGCGATTGTTACTTCCCGGCTGCCCACACCGTGGAAGTTGGTTGCGTGACCGCAGAGCCCAGGGGACAACTGCTTGAGGCCGGTCACACGCGGCCTGTTTTTGTTTGTTCTCTTTTGTTTGGTGTGTCTCAGTAGCATATTTATCACTCCCGCCCTGTGACACGGCAGCAGGAAGCGCGGTCGTTGTTAATCCGGGCCCCGGCCGATCCGGCATGAAATTTTGTGAGTTTGTTTGAATCATAGTATTGGATTGGGTAGCTGCTTTTTGTTTAACCGCTATCCAAACAACCTTTCTGGCATGGTAGGACCTCAAGAGACATAAGTCTCAGCCAGTATAGCTTGTTGGGTCATTGTGGTGTTCAAGCCCGACCTCCACGTCAAGGTATCAGCTTTCGGTCGGGCGACACATCAGTGGTATCAGCGTCTTGAGACTTTTTAATCAGTTTCATTTCGACTTTCGAAAATTAAAATTTGTATTCTCTAGTCAATTATTTCTTCATATGGAACGTCACTAATCTTTTTGGTTTTCTCATATTTTATCCGTTTTCTTATTACATTTGTGGTTAGACATTAATACTTATGAATAATTACCTTGACATTTTTGTTTTGATTCCACACCATATTTTTGGTACAAGTATGAAATTTTCAGCATGTGATATCGGTAGCCCAAATTTCGCAGGCTGACCATAGATATCAGGTGTGCGTCGGCGGGGGCTCGAACCCCTGACCATGTGCATGGTCGGCGAGAGTCCTAACCGCTGTGCCACCGACGCACATAAATATTTATTTTATTGTGTTTCTACCAAATTGGTAATGGTTCTAATCATAATTTTTCAATCCTAATACACCTATCCACTTTTCGCTTGACTCCCTCTTTTTTCTTTGAATGGTTACCTTTTCCCTCATTTAGTCATCTTAGGGTAACTCGAACATATACTAAGTCTACTGTAAAAAACATGATATTTCAAGCTTACTAACGACGGGCATCTAACCAAAATAGGCTTTGGAATAATTATTTTGCCTGTTGGTCTAGTAAAGTCTATAACTCTGTACCTCTTGAATTACCATCATTATACAGATAGATCCAAAAGTGTCGAATAATCTCTCATTATATTTGAGTAATATTCCCAATAAAAGTGTTCCAATAAAGTTGAATCATTCTACGCCCAAATACCAACATGTAATTTTACACACCAACTTTTTTTGTTAGTTAGTTTCCTAAGGCGATTCATATGATCGTTCATACACTGTTGATTTTTGCACGAGGGTAAAAGAAGTTCTGAAAATCGTACTTAATGTTTATTTAAAAGTAGTAGACATTTAACAAAACTTAAAAATATTAATCAAAAAAAAGTTTTTTCATGACATCTTCCAGAATAGTATTCAGACTGATTATGATGAAATCAAAATCTGAAATTTATAGAAAAGATACACGTTAACTTCTTGAAAGAACGAACTAATGAAAAAAAAATTGCACTGAGAATATTGTTCTTTTTAGAAAAATTACAATTCCAAAGGTTCCAAAAGTTTTAAGAAGATTACATGTCAGCTATTTTTCATTGACATATATATAAGATGTCAAATATAGTATTCAAGAGTTTACCTACTTTTCATAACTTCTCCATTATTGTTCTCAGTTAAGTGGGTCCTCGCAAGTAATTTTCTACGGTAAACCGTCGCCTGGACTGAAGGTTTCCATTCTCATCTGTACTAAATTTATTATTCACTGTATATGTGTATGAACTTAGAAGTCATAATTTAATTTGAAATAAAAATGTATATCCAAATAACACGTATCTTTGACGGTAAATTATTTTATTATTATGCTGTGATACACTATCTATTTTTATGGCCTGTTTGAACGACTCGGCTATCTGAGTTTCCATTTAGAATGACGATCTGATTTTCTTCATCTGTTATTGTTTTAATTCGTCAATTATATCTTTGGTTCGCAACAAACACTCAAGCATATATTTCCTTGGACTTCAACCTACTGTTATGCGCTTCAAGATGAAAATGAATAGAAGACATCTTAGGGGATTAAATCTTCTTTTAGACGGAACAACGCTGGGTCATACAATATTCTGGTGATTAGTACTTTACCTATAACACTTCTCAAGTTTACACCTTCTTTACTGAGAATTTTTGGCACATTTTGAATAAGCTAATAACTCAACCATCTGTAAAACAACTAGACAGTGAAGCTGAAACTTGTAGATTGTGCATAACAATGACTTACACAGAAAGAGAACTTTCAACACTTTACATTACTTTAAACAACTGATAGTCGATACTATGTTTTATTTTTTTAAGGATTAATACAAGCTGAGATGTTTACTTTCAAAAAATCAGTTTTCACTGAGATAAAATGTATTTTAGAGCTTAAAAATAACAAACTCAATTATAGACAGTTGTATTTAAAACACAATTTAAGGATATGGAATAAAGTAGCGTAGAACTTGAAAGTTTATGATAAAAATGTCCGTTATTTAAACTCATAGATGTGTTTGTTGGTGTGTTATCGTGATATAACACTGTTTTTTTCATGTCTTTTTTCTAGAACTGTGCACTAGATATTGCCAGTATTTACAAGGTCTCTTTTGAGCTTATTCGTTTATCTGAAGCATATTTTAACTTTTTAATTATTAAAAATGACTTTATCAGTCACTCACCGAATTGACAGGGAAGTGACAGGGAATGATCAGTCGAGATCCCTGTTTTACCTCGTGTTACTAAAAATTCAAAGGAGGAAATATCTGCAAGTTAGACCATTCATGGGCATTAACAATTCATAATTGTTTTAGTCACAATGACAAGTAATTCTACTTCTTACTTGTGGTGTTTTTCTTAGTAAACTTTTAAGGCTGTATGTATATTTACAAACTACTGATCGATTAATTTCAGTAGTTGGATAGACTAGTAATGCTTGCTAGTTAGATCTGAGTGATTTAAACACTGGACTGCCGTTTCGTTGGTTCAGGACAGAGCTCATCAGAAGTGCACCTCGTTGAATTCGGCAATAGAATCGTAATTATTACTTACCAGAAAGGTATAGTAGTTTACTGCTGAGTAAAATTAGTTTTGCAATCAATTAGGAGTGATTTGTATAGAGTGAAGTAACGGTTTGAAATGTTTTAAGATGTGTTGTTGGATACCACATAGTTTTATCTTTAGAAATCACCTTTGAGTAAATCTATCAACTATCTCACTCTCCTCAAACTCAATAAAAGACTACTATACGTTCGTGGCAAATATAAGTATGACTGTACAGCATCTGACGACAACTTCATCGATAAAGTAATTTTCTTCTTTGAATTGTCCTTTGTTTTAATGACTCAATGGGTATTTGCCATCTTTTAGGTGTGTTTTATTAATGGACTTCGGAAAGTCACATTCAAAGCATAAATTAAGTAGACTGTTCACATCGAATACAAGGCTGCTCTTGCACTGTTTTATCGATATTAAGTGTTGTTACGAATGAACCGTTTTCTGAAAATCAACTCAACCATTCATCTTACCACGGTAATAAATACTGTGAAAGTTAAGATTTTGCTACTGCTGTGTGCATGTTTTCATTTGGAATGACATAATGAATTTAATTCCAGTAAGCACGCATGCAATAGCCAGCGCTTTGTGATGTATTCGCCTTACATTTAGTGAATAAGTTGGCATAACTCACTACATCTCACTGTACAAAAATTCAACAGCTTGCCTAACCTAGTAAATCTGAAAAAAAATAATAAACAAATTCAGCGAAGAAAATTTTCTTTATCGACGAAATCATCTTCTGAGGCTATACAGTCGTGTTTATATTTACCAAAAAGATGTATTGTGGTCTGTTATTGAGTAATAAAGGGTGACATAATTGATATAACTACTCGAAAGTGGCTTTAGAAGTATAAAATAAAAGTTGTAAATTACATGGCACTCAGTAGCACAAAGTTAGAAATTTGATAAGGTTAAAATTTCTGTTGAATGAGTATAAAGGTATTTGAGTATCAATTTAACAAGTGTGAAGAGGGTGTGAAAATATACAAAAGGAGCATATAAGATTGATAATAGTGAGTTAATTATTGAAGCGAAAGCAAACTAAAAGTAAAATTAAAAACAAAAGAAACAATCGAAATTTTTTTACACGGAACGGTTAGTTAAGAGGTTAAGACCAAGGTAGAATAAGACACTGGACAAACTTTTTCTGTATACAGAGTTCGGGGCTGTATTGATGAATTTCCAGCGCCGCTGCCATACACAATAGCCGAAACCTGACGCCTTTTGTACCATTTGGCTTCACTTTGTAGATGATCTTGAAAGACGACTCTGATGGAGCTACGTGGCTTGAGTTCACCAATTGCTCGAGAATTGAGCTAGGAATTGTCTTGCATTGTCCCTTTGCTAACCATGCTGGATAATGTTCAGAGATGCGTGTGGAAAGCGTGCGCTTTGTGTGGTCAGTATAACTAGCTCCACACGAGCAGGTGAATTTATAAACACACACTGAGGTAGCCCAAAGGGGCAGTTTATCCTTCACACATCCGTTGATCATTTGTCTGTATAAATTGATACGTAGCCCAGCCATAAAGAAGGCTTTTCTCAGTGATCTGTATAAGCGATTCTTCAAGGTCTCAGCTTCATTATCACCTTTAAATTCAACGCTCATAAAGAGCAGTTTCTTCGGCACCATCTGGATTCTTTCAGGCTTTTCTCTTAAATTCATGTTTTTCTCGTTAAATCTTGGAGGATATCCATTCTCTATGAGAACTTGTCTGATTCGCTCCAGTTCCCCATCGATTGTATCACTTGAACACATCCTTCTTATTCTTGAGGATAAGGAATGGATCAGATTTCTCTTTCTTCTCAAAGGCACCCAGCTACGGAAATTTGCGTACTGACCATTCCATGGTGGTTTCCTGTAGATGGATCTTTGAAGAGAACCATCAAATCTCCTCTTCAGAAAAACATTCAAAAAAATGGAATTCCGAGTTAATCTCTGATTCTGACGTGAACATGATGGCATAATGTCAGCTGTTGAACTCCTTAGTTATCAATTCGATGTCGGTATTGTCGTCACATATGATGAAAGTATCATCCATGTATCTTTGGTACAGATGGAAACTGTCGATAGTAGGCCATAAAATACGATTCTCCAAACCAGCCAAGAAGCAGTTTGCAAGTAAAGGACCCAATGTTGACCCCATTGCCACTCCATCTCTTTGTCCATAAATCGTGTTGTTGAACTTGAATTGGACATTTAAAGTGCACCTCAAAAGTAGTCCCTTTAAGTAGTGGATCGGAACACATACGTCTACATTATTATCCTCAATGAATTTGCATATAAAAAAATAATTTCAGTGAGAGGAGCATTGGCGGAAAGGGATGTAAAATCCATTAATATCATTTTCTTCCGGGAAATATTAGTATCATAAACTGAATCGACAAATTCAAATAAGTCTGAAACATTATGCTTGCAGAGATTATTTCTGGTAGGTAAAAGGATGTCTGCGAGCCACTTGGCAGTAGCATGATGTGGGAAATTTATCATATCCAAGATTGGACGCAGTGGTACGTTTTCTTTGTGCATTTTCAGCAGACCATATAGACGGAGAATCACGGAACCTGAAGGTCGTATTTGCTCAAATTATTCAGTGCTGATAGTCGATCAGTTCTTCCTCTTCTTCAGCATTTGTGTTATCTTTCCTTCAACTGTGTTCCGTTTGGTCTTCTTGGTTACTTTCATCTGGTATGGTGGATAACATTTTATCGAATTAGTCTTGGCTGTTCATCAAAACAATGGCAGCACCTTTATCGGGGCTGGTCAGAACCAAGTATTTATTCTTTAAAATCTCACGTAGTTGCTTTCTGTGTTTGGCTGAAATCAATTTTTTGACATTCGGTTTTGTATTGATATACTGGTGGCAGTTATTCAATACTGTAGACTTGAATTGTTCATATTATTTGTTGGATACTGGGAAAAGGTCATTTGTCTGTTGGATCAATGCTTCAAAGTGAACTTTAATATCTATTCACTCAAATTTGTCGAAATATTACAGAATTTCGGACCCAGTTACAGGGCTTGCAATACGATAGGAGTTAATGATATACCAGAGTACTTGAAAACGTATTTCTCTGGTGTGGCAGGAAAACGTGAATAAGTGTCAGCAGCTTTGAGACTATTTGTGAGTTTCAGGCTTACATCTTTATAACGTTTTCTTGAAACTGAATCGATGTAGTCCATAAAATTTCTCCGCTCGTCTTCTGTCAGGTCAAATAGAGCATGTGTTTTTAGTGAAATGTTTCTTTCTATCTCTGGCAGTCGAGATTTTATTTCATCAGTCACATTCAGTGTATGACAATTCAAAGAGCGATGCTTTGGGTGGATATGACTGCGACGAAGACATTCCCAGTAATGCTTGGGATATTCTTTCTTATCAATACAGATCCTTAGGAAACTGATTCTTTTATTCGTTATATCAAGCTTGACAAAAAACTTAAGAAATGTATCAATTTCTTTCACTGTCACAAGGTTCGTGCTCTGCTTCAAATCACCGAAAATATCCATTGAGTCGTGAAAAAAATAAAAGACAAATTTTCTTTCTTCATGACTCAATGGGTATTTTCTGTGATTTAAATTTGAATAGTAAGGCAAGCATTTGAATCACCCAGCCGATAACTTAAACTTTACTATTAAGAGGGAAGAGCGTCATTAACCCATGCTTTTCAAAGTTATACATGTATATGAATTCTTTTCTGCATTAGATAATTACTAAAAACTGAAATATAGAGAATAAAGACACGAAGAGGATGTTATGAACGATTACGACTTAAGATCCATGACGTATTCGTGGGTGAAATTTTCTTTACAAGAAATTGCAATCAAAAGATTGAAACGCGTTTGGATTTTCAAATGGAAATATTCGCAGCACAATGAAACTCATATAAATGTAATATATACAAATGCTGGCGTTTAGAAATACTAACTGAATCGACTAACTTAGCCCATAACATAAATTATTTTTATTTTTTGAAAGACAGAAATTTCTACTACCAACACTATAAATTATTTTTGGAACAGTTAGAACAAACTTGCATTTGAGAGGTCTCATTAACCTTTTTGCTGCTTACATTTTACAAAAAATGCTTAACTTACGTATGTCCCGATCGACTTATATTTGAATAATTTTCATTGGTAGAGACAGGTATTACGTCTTGTTCTTCATTCATTGTTACGGTGCCTCTATAAAAATAAGGTGAAAATTGAAAGGTAAGTACGTGGAAAATAATGGCAAATCTAAATGTATATTTACTTATAGTTTCGAGATCCCAAACATTCATTTCAGATGTATCAGTCTTGATGTATTTGTATAAAAATTGCTAACTGGGTTATTTCATTCTATAAAAGCCAGCAGATATCAGTATGCTGGAGAAAGCCCCGAAAAATAGCCACTGCGCAGTTGGTTCAGTTCTTTGCAAGACCACGTTAGTACCTTGCTATAGTATGCAAAAGTAGGATGAAACAGCTATTCATTCTTTTCCAGCTGTCGGTAGTTTATTCAGTGTATTTCTAATTTGTAATAAAAATCAGTCGTGAGATATTTTTATGATAACAGCAACATTTTAGCTTGGAACCACAGAACCGTCAGTCCTGGAAATAAAGTATCCATGTAGGGTATTTTAAAGCTTCAGACATATAAATTATCAAACATTAGTTTTTATGAATCACTATGCGGTTGTTTTACCCATACTGCTGACGCCTAGTTGCCTAAAACATTCCTGAATGGAAAATCCTCAAATTTTAGCCTGCATGAATTCCTTAACCATAACCATTCCTTAACCACCATATAATCAGCGACAGCTACAAATGTGTCTCTGTTAGTAATGTTCCATGGATTTAAAAATTAAAACTGCCTATTTTCGCCCGCTCTTCTGTATAATGCTTAGATAAGCTCGCAACTATTTAAATCCTTGTGCATATCAGCTAAATCATTGAGACTACACTAATGTTTGCTGAATTCTTTCCAAAAGTTTTTCTTCACTTTGCTACTGTGCTATTGTCTGTTCTGGAACAACAATGTATTTTGGCAATAAATCCGTAGTACTTAAAGCATCACTCCAAGAAAACTTTTCCCCTCATAAATAACAATGACTGTTTGACCCACAGGGTTTACGGCCTATAACATTTTCTTAAATCCGATTTAAGCAAAAGGATTTAAGTGTAACATAAATTCATATGAAAGCTTATATTCGTCACCTTCTTAGAACAGTAATTTATTACTATGTAAAAGAGTGAATGACTCACGCACGATGCGGCATATCATCAATTGAATAAGAGTAAAGTGGTCCTGATTCTTCTTCGTCTCTTCTTTCCTGGTAATTTCTACTACAACATTTTCGGTGAAATACATCAGTTAAGTCTCATATTTAAACTACTTACTCATGCTGTGATGTATAGTTTCTTTCATTTGAATTTTGTGGACGTGCGTAGTCAGAATAACTTCCTTCTATATACGATCTACATTGAATTTGCATAGTGAAGTACAAGGAAAGGAACCAGTTTAAATAATTACTAATGAACAAATTATCACAAAATGTTTTCTACAGCCAATAACTGGAGAAATATCAACATTCGAAACAATGTAGCTAGACTATAGAAGCTTCCTGGTGGTGAATGTCACGTACTAAGGAAAATCTGCTGACATGACAAAAAGTATCGCTACCCACAAGTAACAGGCCAAATCCGTCAGGCTCTAGCAAACTTCCATGCGCACTTTCCTCACACAATATATATGGGCTAAGTGCCCCCTTGTATTCAGGAACTAAATTGTTTAGAGACGCCTAATGGTTGAAATTCAGAGCATAGGTTTAATAACATACGTTTCAAGCAGATGCAAAATTGCTTTTGTAAATTATTTATTTGAAATTTTTGACTTTAAAATCGTCTTGGCAAAGCTACTTATAATTTTCAATCATTAAACGAAGAACATTAGTTGCACGGGACTTTTAACACTCCAAAAGATGACGAAATAGTAAAACTTATCTTACCGCTGTCTTAAAATAGAAACAAAGGAAGATATTCGACATATCTCCGGCTTCTATGAAACTGCCATATTACTGAGTACTCGCACCACCTCATCTGTTTGCGATGGAACTTCCAATCAGCTTACAATGTGAATTCAACACTACACCTTCAGACAACCAAAAGTAGATTTTGGTAAAGAAAGAAAGAGCAGATTTGCAGTATAAAGTGAAACCATTCTATTTCACACGTTCTCATTAATTTCAAACAGCATCATTTTAAACACTGAAGTAGTTTGCAGTTGATGGGAACTTTTGAAATCTGCAAATCTAGTCTTTCTTAACTAAAACTTATCAAGGAAACTAACTGTATGAAAACTATATTTCTTTAGCAGTGTTGGAAATAAGAAGAAACTAAATAGATAATGAAGAATATCTGTGTAGAGTTTTTCAATAAGAATCCACATCTGTGTTCATAATACGTTAGATTTTGAGCAATATTTACTAAAACTTCATAAGCAGTACCTACGAGACCGTTTAAATTCCTAAACCAAAAAGAAAACATCATTCATAAACCTTAGCCACATACTGCTGCAGAATTTCTAGCCGTAGCATTTCAATTCAGGTATTTAGACTTATGATAAGTAAAAGGTAGCAAATTATTAAACATCTTACGTACGTTACGTCAGGTGCCTTCGCGACATAATAGTTTTGTCTTTGTTGACTTTCAGACGTATTCTAGAATAAAAAACAATTGTGGAATTATTTGAATCATATGGTATAATTTACTATTTTTAGACAGCATCTGCAGTAACGTTTTATATCTTGAACTATGAAGTCTGTGTATTATGCAATGTTGCTTCTTTTTGTGTTATTTTTTGAAATATGGTGTAGTTCACTGGTGTAGTGAAATTACAAAAATCCAGCAAAACTATAGGTTGAATTTTAAAAAGACATCATTCCCCTTAATAAAACCATATTCTTTACGTCTCTGCGTTATTTTACTCACGCTGTAGCCGGTCCAGAATTATGCATACGTTTCCTTTTTTTGTAGTCATCCAGATCATGAAAAACCTTCGACATTCCTTACCATACCATTACATTCCTCTGCTTGCTTCTCAGTGTATCTACTATTCTCAACTTTTACGAGTACTTCTTTGAAATGTGGCAACTTGAACCGATATATTTGTCTGCAGAGTTTTAAGTTAATCTCCCATTTTCAAATTTGTTCTAATTCCTCACAGCATCGTTTTTATTCAAATAGAAAAGAAACCTCAATTTTTCTTGAAATCCACTACACCTACGGCTATCAGGAAGTCATAATTGTGCTATAAGTATCCCAGAAAAACGGCATCTGCAGTCAACAATCAATGTACCATTTTATGTGAATTTTCATAAAATTGAAAAACATGTAACTTATGTTCTGCATCTCAAGCGTTCCGCTTTTAAGATAGTCACTGAATCTTGGGAGTATGAAACGCGGGTAGATGATTTTCCTCTACAGTTTGTATGCATTATGTATTCTCCAACTGAATCTATATTTGTGTTGCAATAATTTCTAACTGACAAAGTCATCTTATCAAGTATTCTAAAATGAAAACATCACGTTACGTCAGCAAAACCTCAGTGAAATTCACTAGACGGTAATGCAATGAAAATAAGTTGTTATTTATATTGTAGTGCACATTGTACCTTTGAACTTTTGTTTAAACTGACTCACCCACGGTGATCCACGTCTTACTTTTTGACTTGTGAGTCTTCCTGACGTTCATAGGTTCGCTCTCTTGTTGTGCTCTCTTTTTGCACACTCTCCGAGCCTACCTCCAGCAACGTCTGCAGATAAGTTGTACGACTTCTTTATTTATTGAATTTTATATTTCGTTGAATAAAATATAATTCTCCCAGGTACTCTTGTCACATCAAGTCTTTTTACAACGATACAGTTCGTCAGTATTTGCGCGTCCAGTAGTGTACTGCTAAGCTTAGTAGGTCGCCAAAACGGTGAAGAAGTTTGTAAGGGTGTTTAGAGTATAGGTCCACTCTAAGGCGTAGTAGAACTCTTACAAGTGGTGAGCCCGTTTTCACCGTTTTCCGCCATAGCTTAACGTGTTAACAATTCTCTTTACGTATCGTTTATTTTGTTATTTTTTTTCTTTTTCACGCACGGATATAAAGATTTGATTTGTTTTCTTTGTACATATATTGTTTTTTTTATCACCTCGTTAATACTGTGTCCTGTGTGCAAGATGGCTGATGGGGGGTCATCAAGCTTTGACGTGGTGGCCCATATTGCCAAGCTATACGAGGAGATCTGTAGTATCCGACAGGAGATGAACTCCAGGAGTCGTGGACGCAGTCCCTCAAGTTCGCGCAGTAGCAGACCCTTGCCACGTGCTAGCAGCAAGCGCCGACAGTCCCGAAGTAACCAGCCTGGAGTGTGCTGGTATCATCGACGTTACGGAGCAAAAGCCCAAAAGTGCACTCGCCCGTGCACCTTCGATGTTCAACAGTCGGGAAACTAGCAAGCCAGCACGTACTGGCGACTAACGTCGCTGGCGAACCACTCTCATGTCGCCTCTTCTATGTTACCGACCGTAACACTGGGATACGCTTCCTAATTGATACCGGAGCAGAGGTCAGTGTAATCCCACCCACAGTAGAGGAGCGCAGGCGGCCAATGTCTCTTCAACTACGAGCCGCAAACGGTTCGCCAATTGCTACGTTCGGCAGGCGCTTTATAGATCTTAACATCGGTTTGCGTCGTTCACTTCGTTGGGTCTTCCTGGTGGCAGACGTTACCACAGGTATAATTGGCATGGATCTATTGCAGCACTACCAATTACTGGTAGATACAGGTAATCATAAGTTAAAAGATCCTGTCACAAACCTCTCCGTCAGCGGTATTGTCACACAAGGCACCAGCGCCATTTCTTATCATATTCCGTCTTACTTCACTAATCATGTACATACCACTTCCAACTTATCTTAATTTTTTTCTCTTTTCTTTTGCTTTCTTTCCTTTCGGTGAAATTTCTTTTTTTTTACTATTGCTATTTTCAAACCTTCTCATTCACCCATTGCTATTGTGCCAAGCCATCCTACTGTTGTATATCGAAGCTTGCTGGTTTCCTACCAACCTTCTAGGGGGGGATAACCTGTAGTACACATTGTACCTTTGAACTTTTGTTTAAACTGACTCACCCACGGTGATCCACGTCTTACTTTTTGGACTTGTGAGTCTTCCTGACGTTCATAGGTTCGCTCTCTTGTTGTGCTCTCTTTTTGCACACTCTCCGAGCCTACCTCCAGCAACGTCTGCAGATAAGTTGTACGACTTCTTTATTTATTGAATTTTATATTTCGTTGAATAAAATATAATTCTCCCAGGTACTCTTGTCACATCAAGTCTTTTTACAACGATACAGTTCGTCAGTATTTGCGCGTCCAGTAGTGTACTGCTAAGCTTAGTAGGTCGCCAAAACGGTGAAGAAGTTTGCAAGGGTGTTTAGAGTATAGGTCCACTCTAAGGCGTAGTAGAACTCTTACAATATAATGGTGAAGGACTGTTGGTAGGTTTCCGTTTCCACAAAGTAACTGAAGTAAATATTACAATAAGTCAAAATTAGGATTCAGAGAATGGGGCGATTAAATAGCTAGGTATACCACAAAGCTACATGCATCATTAATATTTTGATTTTATTGACGGATCTAAGATTTCTTATTGAATTATAAAGATTTCATATACGCCAGGTCTATGAACCTTAAGCGTACTGCAGAGTTAACAGGGTATGATTCTCACCAATTAAACAGGTGTTCGGTACTTAAAGTAGAAATAAAAACTTCAGGTTATCAATGCTTCAAAATATTCCTTAATGACGAAATAGTATACAAATAAAGTTCAAACCAATAGCACTAAGTTTCTATAGAGTCGTAACAACTACCAGGACAAGCTCAAAGCATTTTGAGCAAAATAAATATATAGTTAGACTTCTTACACTGCATCTAAAAAGGCAGAATTTGTGTCTACATAACAGAAACGTTTCAACCTCTACTTATTTATCAGTGACAAACAATGATGAATGAGTCCAGAACCATTAAACAAAACTTATCTTTGCCATAAAGAAATTATTTGAAAACTAAGTGAATACATTCTGATAGATAAATTCAAAATCAGGAACAGTTAACCAATGTAAGTGGTAATAAGTCCAAGATTCTCACAATTTCAGAGGCAAATTTACATTAAAGTTCGTCTTTACTGACGTTTGGAATTATCATAATATATATCTTATTTAAAACATCAGTCGCAACAACAAATAACTGCAAAAGACAAGAGCTTCCATTGATTTACTAACAAAGCTTAGTAAAACCACTGACAAAAAATTCAGGAATCAAACCAAAGAGCAATATATTTCAGTAATAGACTTTTGAAGAAAGGGATCAGTCTGGCTTCTTGTAAAAAATTACTTTGCAAACCTATCTGGATTGAGTGCTTATTGTTTGTTTAATGAAGAAACCTAAAGTTCCCTTGATAAGTTACGTGATGCACCAGTGAATAAACTTCTGAGGAGAGTTACGAAGAGAACGAAGAGAGTTTATCACTGTAGTTCTTTGTTAAATTCATGAGATCAAGCATTTATCCCAAACAACTTACTTCTCTCATATTACCCCTTAAGTCACGTTGAGCATCATATTCATCTCTTCTGAAATTATAATCTCCAGTGTTTCTGTTTGCTTTGTTAGCATCATACTCATAAGTTTGGTCGTCTCGATGATATGGCATTTCTGAGTGAAGTTGAAAAATAATAAGTGTTTACTTATTACACCTTCAAAATGTGGACTTATAGAAGAATTAACCAGTACAATTTAAAACAAAACCCATTGAAACTTACTCAACAATGTAATAGAAAAAATATATAACTATACTGGCATCTCCTGAAATTGTGAATGTTTTAGAATGCATTAGAATGACATTCACTTATCGGTGTTGAGGAGTATGATCATAAAGCTAGGAAATTTACTTGAGAAATGTGAATACTATGACAGTCTATTATGACGACTGCTAAAATTATCTGTCATTTTCTAAGAACTTTAATGTATCACTGAAACCATGGTGAAATCTCAGAAGCCTTATCAGAGAGATGCACAACAAGAATTTATCTGTTATATCTCTGCTGGTGGAGTGACTGTCACGTATTGCATCTTGCATGCGACTGAAATACACTTAGTGTTTAAATAAAAGATCAAACTGGCTTAATTAGAATAGCATTTAACCGAATGCAGTTCCCTTAGGCTTCACGTATGCATCCTACCAGACACATCAAACGTTTCAGGTTTTTTGTGCTGGTAATTCGTTCTTCATCAGTCTGAAAGTTCAGATAGCTCAAGTCACAACATCTGTGCCCACCCACCACAATTATCTTATCAATTATTGAATCCGAATGTGTGACGTGTAAATCGAAATTCCTAAATAAATGGCTCTTTTCGAATCAACTTAATGTTCAGAAGACACGAATAAATGAATGACTGCAGCCATCGCAATTGAAGCAATTTTTATTTCCACTGAATTACTTCATAAACCAATTTTCAATGACATCTTAAATAATTAACCCTTCGTCCCCTCCCATTAACATTATTTTTTCCCCAAACAGAACAGCAGAAACAAAGAATGATGTATATAACGTATATTTAGTGAAAATTAGTAGCAAGTGAGTGTATATGCAGACTGTTTTCCATAATTATTGTGGTGTTTCAAACTGCAACGTATAGTTTAGCTGACAGTGCGGGCTGCTGCAGCCGAATCAGCAAACACTATTATCCGGGTGGTCGAAATCGGGAAGAAGCTGTAAAAGGTTAAATTCTTCTTCATTCATTCTTTCTTCTCATCGGTCGTCATCACATCATCGCTTAATTGTTTTCTCTGTTACATCCAGAGGCCCTTTCTCAGATTTCACGGAATCCAATTAGTTAAGGCCATTAACATCTGAAAAATCGTAAGGTAAAACACTAGTTCGTCCATTCCGTTAAGTCTCAGCCGTTTCTCCCTCAGTGGTGAGCATGTTTGTCTGCGTTAGCTGGGTCATTGCTAGGCATTTACGTCTTCAAGGGATTGTGAGATATCACGGATTGTATATCACTGCAAATTTTAAATTTAAAGACTCATGTCAGCCACGTCTCGTAAACCGTTAATGCCCAGCTCTTGCTACTCTGGGACTCACGCTGTTCCTTGAAGTTTCTCTGAAACGCTTGGTAATAACGGACGCAAAAACCAAAACACCGATTGGCGACTCGAGAATTCCTTATTGTAACACCCTATGTTCCTCTAGGAACTAAAGGATACAATAATAATAATAATATAAACACCAACATATAGCCAACTTTAAAACTAAGCTTTACAACTAAGGTTTCTGACGGTTGTCTCCTGACTTCTTTCTGAACAGCGACCGATGAGACAATGGCTGGTGTATTGATGCCTCCGAGAAAATTGGGGAAGTTGGTTTTGACCAAACAACCATGAATTGATCGTTCAATCTTCAACTACATTGGCAACTCAATATCTCAAATGATGTGCGTCTTTAATTGAGAATTGCTGTGTTGTACACAGTATTCGCAAATAATTCTTCTGAAAGTTATTATTCGTTTTTTCAATGTTCCATATAATGAGAGGGAGAGGAAGAAATGAAGGAGAAAATGTGGCGAAATTCCGTGTGCTGAGACCTTTGTGATGGGTAGCGCAGCTAACACACTAGATTCATTTCGATAACGAATTAACATTTTTCAGATGTTCACTGAAAACCCAGGACTACTGAACTACCGCCTCTCTTTGACTTTAGGCGTCTCACCAGCATGCAGTGACGCGGGGAAGTTACGTTATACTGAGTTAACGTCAACCATCCAGCTACCAAAATGGGAGTTAATAGCTGATGAATTCTGACTTGTGCTGATTCACTTCATCGCCAGCCTGCGTTAAAAGAAATTATTTCTCCCTCACACGTGAGGCAATGGACGCCGGTGGTCTCAGCTACTATCGGAAAATACAAGAACTGCATTCTTTAATCACTGGTGGATTTGTGGTTAATTTCTGAATGATTTTCAGGGAATTATATGCAGTTCCCGCAGTTCAGCGGAGAGGCCGTTATCAGGTGGGTCACCAAAAGCTGTCGCTAGAGGTGGCGCTGCAACATTGGGTTGCCGGTTTTCCGTCACTTTTGATGGTAGCCAAATATCTGCTACGTTTTACTGTTGATGAATTGACAGGCATATATTGCTAAAAATACAAAATGACAGCAATCAGCCTTACCGTAGTGCCTGGCCTTCTGTGGTTTTCTGATGTTGCTTCATCATTAAACTCGTAACCAACTAAATCCGTAGTAACCTACAAACTGGTGTCTACTCAGGCATCATCCATTTTGCTGAGGTCAACCTTTTTCTCCAGAAGAATACATATGCCTTCCAAATGTGATTAAGTATTTGGACAAGCATTTGCAGTTTACAAGAGTTTTATCCAGAAGAACACGTAGAAATTTCCGAATTTCTCCCGAAAACACATACATTTACTTCGGATGACTTATATTTTAGTGTACAGTTGAGAATACTTACTCTGCTGCCTTTGAAATCAGCATATATTTTATTATTGATGTGATTTATTCGTCGGATAATGAGTGGCTACACACCTCTATTTCATTCCACTACCTGCTGTTGAATCCACCTGGCGCCATAACTGTAATCGCTCTTACACCTCTTCCTGAAAAAATCTTCACTATGAAATTCTCTAATCATCAAACCTCTGCTCCCCACTTCGTATTCATTCGTCGAATGTGGCAGCATCCAAGACTTCCAGTGATAATGTCCATACATCACTATATTCCTTTTTGCATCACTTGGACGATAGATTTGTGGTCGGTTCGTTACCAGAGATGTTTACTGTTCATGCTTTCTGACTTGCTATCCTACATGCGATATCGAAGCTGTAAAGGAACACACCGATGGAAGTCAGCAGCACTCTGGAAAATGATTTCGTTCGGCGTATAAATCCTTTCACAACCGACCTGATTTCACTGTTGAAAAGAAATACATCAACCTATGTCGAGACCCCTTTAACCCTCCATGACGACTCAAGACCCATGATAACCTTCCCTGCTTCCCCTATCTATTCTCGCCTAGCTTCGACATTTCGAATACTGCCTTCAGTTGAAACAGTTTTGATTATGTACATGGAAAAGGTAATATATATTGAGATTTTTCGAAACGACGGTTACTGCCACATGTTATTTTCGATTTTGTATCTCTGTTTCCTCCGTCCTTAACACCTCCCACTGAATTCCTATCATCGTTGTCTGTTCTATCAGACTGCTGCCAGTTAGTGAATTTTTCAAAGCAATAGTCACTAACTGCCCGGGGAGTTGTAATTCTCTAGATACTACGTGTCAGTCAGTTGTATACTCATACTCCCACATCTCACTGTCTTCCTTTTTATCTAGCTTACTGTGAACAGCAGTATCATCAGTGGCAGTAGGTAACCTCACCTTATTCCTGTTTTCATCACATCAACTGGCTGGCAATATTACATGCTGAAAATTCTATACTTGCATCAATAGTACTGTATGGAATCAAGATATAATCAGATATATCTGGCATCATCATGAATAATTTTCGTCCGGTTTGTAAATGCTTGCAGCAATGCAGTCTGTAGAGCTCAAGCGGTTATAACAATTACTCACTGTTGTACTTGCTGAATCCCTTCCGAAAGTCAATAGCGTTGATAATAACAAAAAATTTCTTCACATAAATGAGGAAATTTACGTGGTGTTCAAGATTGGCTGCCGCTAAAGACTTTATTTAGAGTTGTGTGATGTTTCGATGTATTCTGTGGAAAGCGACTGATCTTCCTTGAATCCATACTCATCGGTCAGCCGCTTCTTTTCTTTCTACGGATTTTTGATTGGATTTCCTATGAAATCTTTGACTCACTCCATTTCCACCGACCACTGAATCGGCGTTATTCTGTTTTCTTGATCGCAGGCAAGTGTATGTTTGTTCCTTATATCATATCTTTGCCTTGAAGATTTTGTGATGGTTAGGCTAATTTTCCTCGAAGGCGTTTTCATATGCACACATGACTTCCCTCACAATCGGCTTATAGACCATTCGACATTATATGCTCGAACATTAATATAAGACCTAGTATCCGGCCTGTTGCATTTCAAGAATAATTGCCACAAATTTTCCATAAACATTCATTATTTTGAATTTTATACACTGGTAGCTATTTCTGCATTCATTCCCATTTTTACCATATTCTTGCTTTCTCTTTCCACTGCTACCCTTTTGATACAGGATACGTGGGCAGCACTGCTAACTTATGCTTAAAATAATAATAATATTGGTATTTCGTTTCCCCTGAGCTACACACATCTGACATTCAAAATCTTTTTTATGAGTGCTTTGCCTCAAAACTCATTGTTCATTTCGGAACTTAATACAAATAAGCGCTAACGTCATTTGATAGAATAAGCTTATTGAAACTGTCCCCGATAAAACAACCCCAGAAATAATGGGAAACTATTCCGCAGTCAAATTTTAGCTTCAGACCCACAATATATCTTCGATAGATTCAAATTGCTCGGGTGGTTTCTGTCGCCAAATATATCTAGACTGGGGACTGATTTCATTGTTTATATGCGACGGTATACTGGCTTAAGTGAACAAATGAGCTCAAGCAACACTACACTTTAACTAGAAGAGTTTGAACTTGTGAGCGGAATGTGTATAATTATCACATACAGTATACTTTCTATTGATGCAATGATTTTTCGAGAAGTGTGGGCTGACATATTCTCGACATGATATAATCAATGGTTATTCAGTCATTTGAAATGCAATGTGCACACGAGAATTGGCAGGAGTAGGAAGCGGATCATGAATTATTATTATATACAGAATGTTACAATTCATGATGTCATTTCTCTAGTGAGGCAAATATGGGCACAAGTGGGCAAGTCTTCGAGGTAATTTCAATTACCGTGGAATATTTCATAAACTTCCACAGATGTTACAACAGGCTTACAAGGAGCAGCAACGTACTACTTCTGAAAACACTTTGTCTATGCCGGAATCATAGTCTACCACATTATCCCACTTCCACTACTATGATTTGGATATATTCGTTTTATTCCTCTTCATTGGTCTCTCTCCCTCATTCGGCTATGGCTTTGAGATATAATCAAGTACCTTAGGAAGATATATAGGTACTGATAAGTATTAGCCAAAATGAATCTACAGCGTCCGAACGGAAACACACTGACGCATAGTAACCAGCTCACACCCTAGGGGGTAGCAGTCTAGCACGATGTACACCCGTCACAAACAAACTAAATGAATGTTGGAGGAAATTTTTTATTTCAATGCAGTATGAATGCAGTTTATTTGCATTTATGGACTGAGCACAGTCAATAATGAAATTCTATGTTCTCTAATCATATCCGATTATTCGCCAGGAACTATCTAGGATCCAGACTGCAATACGTTTAGACTCTTTCTCAATTCAGACAAACAGAAGCGGACGCATAAATCCAGAGCTATTCGGTATCACGAACTGGAACAAAAAATACCTGCGTGATAATCAGCAAACGAGTGGAATTATCTCTACATGTTGGTGTTTTATGTAGAATCAATTCCTTCAACCGTTCACACAACCACATAAGGTCATAAATCGGAAAACGCACACTCTTCAATGAATTTTGGTTGTCTTCATCTGCCACTTGTCTCCATCAGCTTCCTATTGGATTTAAATAACTGAAGGATCTCATTACGATTCAACATCGCCAAAAGTAATGCGGATTAAATTCGCAGTACAAAATTCTGTGGGATATCATTAACTAACGATAATGGTTTATTCACGTGAGTTAAGCATTTACATGATGAAGATGCCGTTTTCTCACGTATGATCATATCTTTTTTTAAATATGCAATAAATCCGATTATCTTAGTTTATATTTGTTTGCAGATGTGAATCATATTATTGGTATGAAGTTTCACTAGATGAGCTGAGTCTACTTAATTTTGCACATGTAATGTCATTGATTGCAGGTAATGGTGAAAAAATCACGCTATAGGAATACACTTATCAATGTTTTGTTTGTGGTCTGACGAGCCGAAATATTAGAACGAATGGGTTACACCGAATAAATGTCGTATAAAATTGTCTCTCTACAATCGAAGAATATACATAAAGAGAACGAGTGATCCCAAGTATGGACCTTAAAATCACACAGTACAATCCACCTTACGACTTATTTCTCAGGTTCAAGCCTCATTTTTGGCGTCTCACTCAAAATGTCCACATAAAGCCGCACACAACGGCGACTACCTGCAAAAAATCAAACGTTCCTTTGACTACCACTGTGTTAACTAATGAACGGTATGGGGAAGAAATAAGGCTGAATTAAAAGTGCAACAGTGTATTGTATCATTCATTAATGCATGTTCAGTCGAACCTAGTATTCTTCGGTTGTTTTAATTTGCTCAAGGTGTCCTCAAGTTATATAAATATAGTATGATTATTCGTGTACCAGAGATTGAATCCATTTCAACATGCCATTCAAGTTTGGAGATAAGAAGGGTTATTATGACGCCAATGAGGCAGGAGGTAATTCGCGAGCGCCAGCTTTTGGTAGTGGTGATGGTGGGTATTACGGTAACACTGGTCCTCGTGACTATGATAATAACATGAATGTAAGTTTATCTTTTAATTAAAAATCCCAATAGTGTAACTTAGTGAATAAGCCGAAACTTTTGTGAGACAACATTTTTGGGAACGTAACATGAATTGGTGAATCTATGCACATGGGTCATTTCGCTCTTTATAATTATGTATTATTGATGTTTCATACTCCTGCCCACTGTTGAATGGCATAAGGAAGGGCATAAAACCATGAATATCTTGAATTATATTTAGGCTAGTACTGACTTCGTGTGCACTGCAGAATGTTTGGGGCAATTTTTTGATTTTCAAGTAATTGAATTTACTCGGGTGACTTCAATCATACAGCTAGGTCTTTTACATATTGTGAAGTGCATTACATTAGACAAAAAGCAGCCACGCATCACTGTGAAGATAGGAACTTTGTTCAAACGGAAATGTGTTCCATTCAGTTCCTTCAGGAATTTAAAGCTATTAAAGTCATTATTTTAATAGCTTTAATCTGCATCATATAGGCTTGGTTACTCATTCATTATTGTACCGATAATGGTAACAACAATAACGACAACATTTTTCTAGACAGTATTTTTGGCACAGAATTAAACTTTCTGAACTTATACACTGAATCAGTTTTACGCCTCACACGGTCAAGATCCCATTGGTAGGTGAAAAAAACATCGAATATCTATTAGGTCAGAAAATTCATTCATTGTAATACCATAAGAAGTGTAAATTCTGTCTTTTGGCTTGGAGCCATCGGACGTTGTATGGCGAACTCTACAGCAGCATTCAGAAAATGCATTTAGTTGCTATTAGATTTTCACACATGGAGTATTTACGGAAAACCGATTTTATTACATTGTGACACACACTTGTAGTTACAGGGGTTTATTGTGATCGTTTTAAATTTTAGAAGCGACAATAAAACTTTAGTGCTGCTAGTTCTACAAATGTTTAGACATTCTTAGCAGTTTTCAAGCTTTAGCGCAAAATCTAGCGATTGTATGCTGATTGTTAAATTCGTCATTAAATGTGCCAACTGATATGTCATGTCCTCTAAAAAATAATCTATAACAGATATTTCTCAACAAACTTACACGACACTGTTAATATTCGTTTCAGCAGAACTATGGTGGTGGTGCACCAGGAGCCTTCGGAGGAAATCCAATGGGTGGACGCAATTTCGGTAATAGACAATATCCTGCAGATTGCTATGGCATGAACAGAAGAAATAGTGGAAGTTCAGACTCAGTAAGACGAAATTTCCCATAACTACAGTGTTACGATAAAGTTAATACATTTTACTGTTCTTGCTCACTTAAATCTTTAAGATAGCTCCCCAAAACATCTCTAGAATGTGCATGCATGCATTTCAGCACACACTAAAAGAAGTTTCCAATAATTCTTACAATTCCAGCTGTTTGAATTTCTGTCCTGTTCACTGGATTATCTTTTTGTTGAATGTATATTTGCCAAAGGTTAAGTCGTCAAAAATTTCCATTTGTCTTTATTTTTCAACCAAGTAAATTTCTTTGCTTAACGATTGAAGCTTTCATGCTTGCAGCTGTGGGTGAGCAACTTATACCATCACGTCTCTCAATAAAGCTATTGTCAAATGTGGGAATCGGGTTTATTTCCGCCGATGGCGAAAAATAAGTTGAAATAATATCTTGCTCTTCATGAGGAAAGTAATATTTTTCAAAAATAGATACATGTAGTAATTGCAATAATAGGTTCATTATCGGACGTTACCTAGAAAAAAGGCTCGTTTATCAATGCATAATAATTATAAATTATTGTCTGCATTCTATTATTAATTATATATTAATTTTCTCGTAGGACCATTCAGACCGTGGTGAAGGATATCGAAGAGGATCTTCAAAGAACAGGAAGTAAGTTTTTTACACTGCAATAGGTTTCCCATTCTCTCTAGGTTAGTTAGAGTATTTTACGTTTAACTCAAAAATTATCTAGTTTCACTTGACATATAGTTGAAGATGGCAAGTTATTTATTGAAGCTATACTCTGTAAAACGGACTCTGTAGTCTTGCTTCTGATATCATCAGCAAAAAAATTACTGCGCAGATCTGACTCCTTGCGATAATGAGTTTGGGATTTTCAAGTAAACTTGTTTAATCGCAACATACAATGTTATTAATATCGGCTTGTTTATTTCAGTTGGTTTTGAAACGCCGTGAGCACTGAGTTGTTAATACAAGCTACTCTCCATGTGGCGAGAATCATGAATCAAACTAAATATACAAAGAATATAGCATCCAAGGAATAGAACAAATTTTATCATGATTCATGCTGAGAGATTTTTAATTTAGAAGGACATGATTAGTCTATCAAATGAATTTGATCGCCATGAAAAAATCAGTGGAATATTGCCTGCATTAACTCTTTTATGTGTCCAGTAACAACAACCAACAGGAATGGCAGGAATACCCCCATCACGAAACGAGAAAGAATCAGCTGTGCAAAAATCTGTTTAACTTTTGACAGTATGCAGCTGATGGGTGAAATTTAAGATTAGTAAAAGCACAGTAGATTAATTCTAGCAGTGATCAAACTTTCCAGATTCATACTCTTTGATAAATTCTAGCCAACAATCAGTTCTGACAAATCTGAATATAAGACAAATAGGTTGTAAGATAAATTTAGCAAAACAACTAACAGTAAGGGCTGAAAAGTTATTCATGCATAATTTAACTTGGTTTGCATTTGAATGGAGTCTAGGTAAAGTCTAAGATGACATAGTGAGACACATCAGCAGGCCATAAATACAGAGAGTTTTGGCTCCAAGGCATACGTGACTTTTCCTCCTGTGATTGTAAGCCTCAAAAATTCTGTCTAGTTATTGATCGGAACACCGCATATGAATCCACTATGTTCGTTCCTCATGATGTTGACTGCTTTACTGACTATCGCGTGTAATATGGCGTAAACATGCGGAGTTGTAGGTACCATGTGAGATGAAATATTCATTTTCGTTTCTAGTTTTAGCCGCTCACAGTTATTATTTTTATTTCAAGATGCTTGAATTATTTCATAATAATATGTGGGCTGCATAAAAATGTATACTTTCAATACCACCGCCATCAAACACATGAGTTTTAGTTTAATTTCGATTTAAGTGTAGGGTAATCTGTTCTCAGTATGCTCAACGATAGTGAGTTCACAGCATTCTGATTTGCATTTCCGACTTCTGGTTGTTAAAGCTACTTCAAATGTGATCCGGAATTATGTAACTGGAAGCTCCACTTTTCCACGTGCATGATTCGGAAACTAGCATATGCCCATCCCTTTGTAATGATTATTAGAAATAACAAGTATGAGGAAACATGGTTTCATATAGCATCGCGCCGAGCATATTTTGTGAACCAAACGTATAATAGTATATACTACGATACGTTCCGTTAAATATTTAACTGCCTGGGACTTAATATTACTTGTTTGATGGTTTCATGGTGATGAAATCAGTGAGTTTGTTGTTGGAAGTTAACAAATACCCCTGTTCTTAAGACCATCCTCCCTAAATAATTTCAACCACTTCTAAAACACCTGTCATTTTATCCTTGTTTCAGTTTTACTGTCTCAGGGGTTGTAGCATCCACCTGTTCAAAAAAGATGATTAACGTTTCGAAACTCGTTTGATAATGAAACATACACCAGTAGTTTAAAGGTTATAATATGATTTTGTTACCAATATACTGTCACTAAATCTTTTTTAATACAGCCGAGGAGGGTTTGGCATAAGTCCTCGACGCCACTCAGGTGATCGTCATTCAAGTTCTGAGTGAGTGAATTACTTAAATTATAACTAATTAAAATTTTACCCACTATTTTCTCTTACACTTGTTGTGCTCTGTATATAGATGAGCGTAGAGGTGAATTGTATATGTAATTGTAGTGCAGCTTTGTCGTTTGTAAGATTAGAGTATCAGTATTAGAGAGCTACTTTAATTTCTCCCTTTTATTTCATCCATATTCTTTTGATGTAATTTGCATTTGGATTTCTATAATTTCTATAATTACAGAAATATCTCCTGCCAAAAACTCATAAGTATATGATTCCACACACTTTTCTTTTCTCAATAGAAGCCCGAACTCGTAAAATGCATACTGAACTTTAAGGTTATAATAATGTGGGAACCTCACCTATCATTTAGATGCCTACTGATGTTATGTAGACTCAACATTTTTATCCAAATAAATAATACCTGGAAGGCGAAAGATGCTAATGAAAGTGTTTTAAATATGAGATTAGGCTGCAGATATTTCTGATAAGGAAGTACTATACCTTTTTTATGCACCTTTGTTTTATATGCTAATAATTATGTGACGGATTATTGATAGAAGCTGAAACGAAAAATTAGGCAGTATCATGGTATGAAGTTGCTGACTTGACTGAGGAATTTTATTTCATATTCAACTACTATTTATTGAACAAATATATATGTATACATGTGCTAATGAAAGTGTTATGCGTTCCAAACTGTATGGTATTTGGGAAGACAGAGCGGTTAACTCATGCTGTAAATGCTTTGTCATCTTATCTTATACCTGAACGTAAATATGTGAAATGGATTATCACTTTGGGTGTTCGAATTTGGATGTTTTCAGTAAAGTAAATTGTTGAACATGTTATACTCAAACTAAACATTGCGATCGTTCAAAGAAGGGAGACTTTTAGTCTATTATTACTTGGAGCTTATTCACCAGGACCACACCTTTTGTGTGTAAGTGTTAAAAAGACCAACTAAATACATCATGCACTGTTTTCTCGAATAACTCAGATATATGACAGAATTTGTCAATAAAATTAATCTTAGTAGTCAGGGTATTTTCCTCAGATAGTTTTGATAATTGCGCATAATTATTTACGTCATTTAAATTTAATACTATTTCCTCTGTACAGTGAAGGGAAGAACAAAAGATGGCACTGAACGTCACTTCTTACCGATGACCACCTATGCTCTTTCTTTGTTCGTCAATGCTGGTCAGTAATTTTTCTAAAAATAAAACGTTAATAAAAATATATGTACGTCTATTATACCAGAAAATAACTGAGTGATTTAGATTTCGATGTTTGTGCCGTATGACTTGTTTTTATGCTATCTTAGAACTTATTACCATTAACGAATTTTATTTTTCATTCACTGAAACCTCCAACGTGCTGTATTCAGAAGTTAAAATGGATACCGAACAATGGCAAGGCGATTGCAGTGGCTGCTCACAAGATATATACACTTCATCCTACGGCGTGTGACTAGACATAAGCATATGAATTTCCAGTTTCGTAAAATATTGGAAAAAGACCACTCTGACAGCTAAAATTTATCAGAGAAACAGTTGACGTGTTAAAACTTCAGCAGTGTTTGTTAGTGATCACTTCCCGATATGTATCGAACACTGCTAAAACAACAATGAACCATCTATTCTTAAATGCATAGAGTGTAAGAAACTGAGTCCAAGTGTTTTAGGGATTTCAAATCATGATGACTTGATCTAAGATCGAACCAAATCCTGTAGCAAACATGGTTACTGACTTATTTCCTTTCTACATTGTTGTTATTAGTTCTCTGTGCGTCGGTGGCATAGTGGTTAGGACTCTCGCCAACCATGCACATGGTCCAGGGTTCGAGCCCACGCCGACGCACGCCTGATATCTATAGTCGGCCTTCGAAATTTGGGCTACCGATATCCATGCTGAAAATTCCATACTTGTACCAAAAATACGGTGTGGAATCAAGCTGTAATCAAAAATAAAAAAAATAAAATAAATGCTATTGCCTCACTACTCATAGTACTACAGCAAAGCTTTATACAGAATAATTTTGGTAGTCGCAACTAGAAAATCTGTCACTGAAATACAAACAAACTGAACAAATCCACGTGGAAAAACATTTTAGGAGAATGAATTATTTCTCAAGAGCGCTGAGAACAGGACCTAGCCGCAAAACAAATATAATGCATTCCTTAAACACATTTAGATTGACAAATACCTCAGCAGGATAAGTTATTTACAGAACAATTCTGATTATTACAACTAGTGACTTAATCGTAGTAGAAATTCAATTTTTGACATGAAGTGTGTTACTGAAGCTCTAATTGCACAACAAAACATGGCCTTCCAGCTCCAGCTTTATAATACAATAAAACATTCAGATCCTTTATACCACTAGATAATTCGTCCATTGCAAAACATGCATTAAATGTAACTCCTGTTGTCAGGATTTTTTGCATATTTCCAATAGTTATAAGAGAAACTGGGTGTAATTATTGATATGAAGTCTAATACTCGTTGAAACTTTTGAAATTACCATAAATCGGCACTGACACATTTAGAAATCCGGGAAGTTGTATACTGTGAAGTTAGGACTTCACCAAGGTTTGCGTATACCTATTTGAAACAATATTTTCTCACCTTAGACATTATAGATACCTGAACAAAATGTCCACTGTTTATATTTCTGATTTTCAGATAACGAATATCGTTTGACTTTGACCTCAATTAGAAAATCAAACACAGCACAATAACTACCATGGAGAGAACTTATATCTCTATGTTTATATACTCTTAATTTCATATAACCTCAACTTAACACTTGTTGTTTTGTAAAATATAATTTTTTCTAAAGCGCGTTGACGTTCTTTAAATTATGATTTGATAGTGTTCGAAGAAGTGAGTATATAATAGGCGTCTGAAATACTCGAAGTGTGTAAAAAACGTTTCACTTTCAAAACTTTGCAAGCAGTGGAAGCTTGACAAAATTGTGTAACACAGTCCAGTAAATCTGTTATGTACTCGTCGCTGAATTATTGTTATGGACTGGTCGAGAAACTAATAGTCCTGACGCGAGAAGGCGGAAATCAGAAGACCACTAGGTTTGCGATGATACTTCTATTGTCCAAACACAAGGAGACGAAAATAAATGGTCTCACACCAAAGTGGTAAGTAAGTAAAGTAGTTGTAAAGTAAAGTAGTTCACACAAATTGTGAATGCGAATATATATAAATAATTCAGACAAGCGTGGGAAAAATCATTAGACAGTCTTAACATGAATGGCTAATTATAATGGAGTGTCGATCCAATTATACATAGCGAATATAGCAGACATGCCAACAAACATATATGGATATATGTCACCAAGCAACGGACTGTCAACAAACACTCATATTATATATAATATAATATAAGGAGAATACACATTATTAAAGGAGACAAGTCCATACAAGTGAAGTGGTCACAGACTAACCGAGCAAACAGAAAGAGAGACCAACATGCACACACACACATAAATATATATATGTGGATACATATCACCTCCCCTTTTGAGAAGATGAATGATTAGTAGGATGTTTACCTGGGGGTTTATCTGGGACCTTTGGGCTTGTTGTTGACGCCTGTCGTTTCGTCTGATTGTTGGGTTTGCGGCTTCGGCTCCGTCCGGAATTGTCTAGCATTTTATGCTTCTTCACTGTATTGCGTAGAGAATTTAGTGGGACATCAGCCAGATGCAAACGATCGAACCAATCAAGTCCCAAAACATTTAAATCATTCTTCGTGACGTAACAAATTCCTGTGAATTTGGTATTGCGGAAGGAAACAGAACATTTGAGTTCACCAATTAGTTTGAGCCGCCCACCACAGGCGCTGAGAAGAGACTGGGAAGTATTGGTGATAGGTGGTCTGCCAATATAATTCCAAAGTTTCTCTGATATAACAGTAATATCAGAGGCAGTATCTAGCTGCAGACGAGTATCATGACCATTCATCTGAAGGTCAATATATTTCCGCATAGCTGGTGTTGTGACTTGACAGGTTGCACGTAGACTCAGTGATCTTTTTGGAGATTTAGGACCGACATTTTGTTGAGCTTTTGCTGGATTATGATATCTGAGTTGGCGTGGCTGACAAAACCCATTTTTATGACCGATGATTTTGCACTTGCTGCAACGATGATTTTTGTATGGGCAAGACTTTACAAAGTGCCACGCGCCACAATGCCAGCATGGTGATGGAGGGGTCTTCTTTGCAGTATTTTGTGAAGTTGGACGAGTATGTGTAGATTTCCGCGGGACATTAGAAGAAGGTGGGTCAGGAGTAGATGATGAGAGATTTTTGCTCTTTCGTAATGCACGAATATCAGAGCTTCTCGAAGGTGTTGATTCGACCAGGTGTGTGTCTTTCTGCAGATTAATCAGCCGTTGATATTCATCAGCTATGTCATGTAATGTTAACTTGGGATTTTGTTCTAGCTGATTGAGCAGTCGAGTTCGGATATCTGTGAAACGAGGAGATTGGAGACTGCATATGAGAATCAAGGCTTTGAACTGATCATCTGTTAAGGACCTGAGTCGAAATCTCTCACATTCTCGGTTGACTGTGCCAACGTGAGTAAGAAAATCATCATTTTCATTCATTGCCAGCTTGAGGCAACGATAACGTATACTGAATAATGAGGAGTGGTCTCCGAAATGTTCACGCAGCAACTTTATTGTATCATCGAAACAATTGTCACGTGGTTTCTGTGGTAAAATTAGGTTGCAGTACCGTTCATATTCTGCCGGACCCAATTTACGTAGCAAAACTCGCACCTTCCAGGCATCGTCTTGTGAGGCGAGATCAACAGTGAATAAATCCTCATAACGTTGATACCATGTGTCAAAAGTGACATTAGCCTCTGGGTCATAATTGAACTGTGAAATGCTGTTCACAATTCCGTCGACAGATGGTAGCATGGTATGATTGGGATTGCTTGAAGGTGGAGCTGGACCAGTCTGTTGGTTGACGAACATTTCCATTAATTTCATTTGTCGTTCAAACAATAATTCCAATTTAATAGGATCCATAGTAAATTGTTATGTTGTTGCTGCTGTGTGGTTAATAGTAGTTTTCCCCGTCGCCAAATTGTTATGTACTAGTTTCCCCGTCGCCAAATTGTTATGTTCTAGTTTCCCCGTCGCCAAATTGTTATGTACTCGTCGCTGAATTATTGTTATGGACTGGTCGAGAAACTAATAGTCCTGACGCGAGAAGGCGGAAATCAGAAGACCACTAGGTTTGCGATGATACTTCTATTGTCCAAACACAAGGAGACGAAAATAAATGGTCTCACACCAAAGTGGTAAGTAAGTAAAGTAGTTGTAAAGTAAAGTAGTTCACACAAATTGTGAATGCGAATATATATAAATAATTCAGACAAGCGTGGGAAAAATCATTAGACAGTCTTAACATGAATGGCTAATTATAATGGAGTGTCGATCCAATTATACATAGCGAATATAGCAGACATGCCAACAAACATATATGGATATATGTCACCAAGCAACGGACTGTCAACAAACACTCATATTATATATAATATAATATAAGGAGAATACACATTATTAAAGGAGACAAGTCCATACAAGTGAAGTGGTCACAGACTAACCGAGCAAACAGAAAGAGAGACCAACATGCACACACACACATAAATATATATATGTGGATACATATCACCTCCCCTTTTGAGAAGATGAATGATTAGTAGGATGTTTACCTGGGGGTTTATCTGGGACCTTTGGGCTTGTTGTTGACGCCTGTCGTTTCGTCTGATTGTTGGGTTTGCGGCTTCGGCTCCGTCCGGAATTGTCTAGCATTTTATGCTTCTTCACTGTATTGCGTAGAGAATTTAGTGGGACATCAGCCAGATGCAAACGATCGAACCAATCAAGTCCCAAAACATTTAAATCATTCTTCGTGACGTAACAAATTCCTGTGAATTTGGTATTGCGGAAGGAAACAGAACATTTGAGTTCACCAATTAGTTTGAGCCGCCCACCACAGGCGCTGAGAAGAGACTGGGAAGTATTGGTGATAGGTGGTCTGCCAATATAATTCCAAAGTTTCTCTGATATAACAGTAATATCAGAGGCAGTATCTAGCTGCAGACGAGTATCATGACCATTCATCTGAAGGTCAATATATTTCCGCATAGCTGGTGTTGTGACTTGACAGGTTGCACGTAGACTCAGTGATCTTTTTGGAGATTTAGGACCGACATTTTGTTGAGCTTTTGCTGGATTATGATATCTGGGTTGGCGTGGCTGACAAAACCCATTTTTATGACCGATGATTTTGCACTTGCTGCAACGATGATTTTTGTATGGGCAAGACTTTACAAAGTGCCACGCGCCACAATGCCAGCATGGTGATGGAGGGGTCTTCTTTGCAGTATTTTGTGAAGTTGGACGAGTATGTATAGATTTCCGCGGGACATTAGAAGAAGGTGGGTCAGGAGTAGATGATGAGAGATTTTTGCTCTTTCGTAATGCACGAATATCAGAGCTTCTCGAAGGTGTTGATTCGACCAGGTGTGTGTCTTTCTGCAGATTAATCAGCCGTTGATATTCATCAGCTATGTCATGTAATGTTAACTTGGGATTTTGTTCTAGCTGATTGAGCAGTCGAGTTCGGATATCTGTGAAACGAGGAGATTGGAGACTGCATATGAGAATCAAGGCTTTGAACTGATCATCTGTTAAGGACCTGAGTCGAAATCTCTCACATTCTCGGTTGACTGTGCCAACGTGAGTAAGAAAATCATCATTTTCATTCATTGCCAGCTTGAGGCAACGATAACGTATACTGAATAATGAGGAGTGGTCTCCGAAATGTTCACGCAGCAACTTTATTGTATCATCGAAACAATTGTCACGTGGTTTCTGTGGTAAAATTAGGTTGCAGTACCGTTCATATTCTGCCGGACCCAATTTACGTAGCAAAACTCGCACCTTCCAGGCATCGTCTTGTGAGGCGAGATCAACAGTGAATAAATCCTCATAACGTTGATACCATGTGTCAAAAGTGACATTAGCCTCTGGGTCATAATTGAACTGTGAAATGCTGTTCACAATTCCGTCGACAGATGGTAGCATGGTATGATTGGGATTGCTTGAAGGTGGAGCTGGACCAGTCTGTTGGTTGACGAACATTTCCATTAATTTCATTTGTCGTTCAAACAATAATTCCAATTTAATAGGATCCATAGTAAATTGTTATGTTGTTGCTGCTGTGTGGTTAATAGTAGTTTTCCCCGTCGCCAAATTGTTATGTACTAGTTTTCCCCGTCGCCAAATTGTTATGTTCTAGTTTCCCCGTCGCCAAATTGTTATGTACTCGTCGCTGAATTATTGTTATGGACTGGTCGAGAAACTAATAGTCCTGACGCGAGAAGGCGGAAATCAGAAGACCACTAGGTTTGCGATGATACTTCTATTGTCCAAACACAAGGAGACGAAAATAAATGGTCTCACACCAAAGTGGTAAGTAAGTAAAGTAGTTGTAAAGTAAAGTAGTTCACACAAATTGTGAATGCGAATATATATAAATAATTCAGACAAGCGTGGGAAAAATCATTAGACAGTCTTAACATGAATGGCTAATTATAATGGAGTGTCGATCCAATTATACATAGCGAATATAGCAGACATGCCAACAAACATATATGGATATATGTCACCAAGCAACGGACTGTCAACAAACACTCATATTATATATAATATAATATAAGGAGAATACACATTATTAAAGGAGACAAGTCCATACAAGTGAAGTGGTCACAGACTAACCGAGCAAACAGAAAGAGAGACCAACA